TTGAGGGTTTTTTCACATTAAATTTTCCATATCATCTTTTATCATTTTCTTTAACTTCTCTGTAATTTTCAATTATTTTATCATGTTTACTTCTGCTTATTATTTCTGCACCATAGCATCCCAAAAATTTTAACCTCAAATAACCATGGTAAATGAGTTTAAGTTAGCAATTAAAGGTAATTGGGGAATCAGTGTAGTGTGTGGTTTAAGAGGGCTAACAGGCCTATTGGGTTGTGATTATAGCTTTAGGATTAGGTCCAAAATGATAATGGACCATTTAGGCCCTAAAGAGGGAAGAAAGTGTGAGAAAGGCTAGGGTAGCTTCTCATGTGTGAAAGGCTAAAGTAGTCTTATCACATTAGTAAGCTCATTATGTAATAGCTCACAATTTAATGCCAAGACATAGGAAAGATATAAGGTAAGTGTGATCATGCATATTGTTATTAAGGGAATATGGTTGTCTGCATTATAACCTTTGTAATGAAATTATGTGAATTCACGTTATTTACCACACAAAATGCGAAATAAGCCTTATAAATGATAAATTAATATGTTTGTGAGAATGTTTAGCCACTTGCATTTTGAAATTAATTGACATGCATTAGTATTGGTTAAATATACCTTAATTATTAACAATTATACTCTTCAATATCATAGGTGCTAGCTTGTCAGGACAAGAATGAGGGAAGCAGCCCGAGGCTTAAACTTGTTAGCCTAGTTATTTTGAAAAATTTATATGTATAATTTATCATAATATTGCCAATTAGGAGATTGCACATTTTTGCTTTCTAGCATTATTTGATTCTTGAGATAAGTTGTGTATTTCAGGCTTTAGGTTGCACATATATTAAATGAGAAAATGAGGAGTGAGCAAATTTATGATGGATGATGAATTATATGATGCTTTATACAATTGAGACTCCCCTTTTGTTTTTGCTATTAAGGAGTTGAGTATTGAAAATACTGTTAATGTGCTATGTACATGTTATGGTGTATTACACAGTTGTATCGTGGATTGTCGAGTGTGGTCTAGAGTTAAGGTTAGGCTTTTGGCACTTGAATTGTAAATTGGGCACACAAGTTGTGTTTTGATTGTGAAAGGGGTAAATTTAAAAATGGGTATCTAACTTTTGATTGAGAAATGAGTTGAATGTGAAATTAATGCCATTAGATAAAGTTTGGAGAAAGCTTTATGTAGACATCTAAGTTACCTTAATCGGATGTTGAATGGAGAAATAAGATGAGTTAAAAATTCACATGGCTACTATCATTTGATAGGATCATTGTTGTCATAACTATGCAATGTGCTGTAGTATATGGCATAGTGTGGAGCGTGCTGCAATGCATTAGTTACATGCTATAGCGTACCTCTTGTCTTTTGTGTTGAATCATTATTTTTAACTAAAATGTAAATGCTTTGTAATATTTTAGTATCACATTCTTTCGTACACTTATTTTACTTAGATTCAAGGTTTATAGAAAAATATATATGTTTTAATGGTTTGAAAATTTGAGATCCTATTTATATAAAAATTTTAGACTTGGTAATTCTCTTAGATTAGTCCTATAATTACCTTTGTTTTGGGAGTATAGTATGGATTAATAAGGATGACTTTACATGTACTTCCTAACAAAAGCGATACAGTCTTTAATCGTGCCTTGTTTCATCATGGTTGCTCTTATATCCCAGCAAAACTAATCATGGGTTTTATTGCCATCCATTAGAACTCCCTTTTGTGATATGGCTAAGATGTGTGATAAACTTTATGATTTTCTACCTCTCACCATGTTTCTCAAAGAGGAATTATGGTTTTTTGCTCGTCAACATATTTAGTTGGTAAGTGCAATCCATTTTTCAAATGTTAACTTATAGTTGCTAGGACTTAAACTTCCAATGGAACTTGATTTTAAATTTATTGCAGGTTTGAATTTGGTAATATTCTGTATACATTAGTAAGAACCTTTGAAGATTATATATTGAGATGAAATTTCATAAACCTAGCAAGATTCGAGCTATCAATTTGTTGATAATCTTAAGCCTTCCTTTTAATGATCCGACAGCTCGGGCACACAATAGTTCAAGTAAGACAATGTGTTTTGTACTAGGGATGTTAAGTCATGTTGGCCTTAAGCTAAAGGCTCCTCAAGCTCTTCACACTTGTCCAACTAGGGAATTAGCTATTCAGATAAGGTTTCGTGCTTTTCATTCCTTGTTCTCTCAGTAAAATGTGTTATGAAAGTTCTCTAAGAGATAGGAAAATACATTGCCACTAGTTCAGGATGTAATGTAATAGTTGATAGCTATTATATTCTAATAGCAAAATGGGCACCTATTATGGCACAAATAGTGATCGGGACTCCTGTAGTGGTTAAAAAGTGAATTCATTTAAGAAATTGAGTGTATATAGAATAAACATTCTTGTCTTTGATAAGGTGTCTAACCTAATGCTAGCTAAAGGATGAACAAAAATTGTTATTATCTTCTTATTTAATTTTGACATGTATAGGCATTAATTTTTTATATTTACATCATCATAATAAAAATTGTTTATGTACACTCCAAATGCTTGACTAATTTATCATTACACTATTATTTTGTTGTATTGTTTGTACAAGCACGTAGTTAAATATAATGCAATAATTTCATATTTAATTAGTCAAAGTAATTTTTATGAAATTATTGCTCTATTATAACTATTGTGGAGTATAGGTTTGCACGAGAAAGTATATGCTATTTAAATGTAGGGAGGAAATAATTTCTCTTCTTTACCAAGCTTTCTTTGAGCTAAAGATTGAAGGGGAGATAATAAAAAAAAATGTAAATCTTTGAAAGCCCAAATCTCTAACTTAGCCTCATTGTCTTTGATCACATTTCTCACCCTATTGTCATTTAAAATCTCTTTCAAATCACTTTCACTTTCGAGCTCATTGCCATAGCTACTATCCTTGATTTGTTGACTTCAGTATGCTTTATTTTCAACCTTTTCGTTTTCAAAAATAGGAACCTACCAAATAGTAATATTAACTATTTTTGTATGATACCATTCATTTTTACTAAACATAATTTTATATTTATATTAATCATGTAGTCTTTTCTTAAATTTTAATGTAACTCTTAAATTTTAATGTAACTAGCAATACACAGGTCATGAAAATGTGATTTTAACTCTCTCCCTCCCCCCTGTTTTTTTTTATAATTAGAAACAAGAACATAATCCCATATAGGATGCAAAGAAAGTCAAATTACATCAAAGAGACCTAATCTTCTCATCATCCACCACCTCTTGACAAAAAGGTAATGGTTAATCAGAAGCATAGGGGCTCCTTACAAGATTTAAAGCATTCTGAGCTAAATAATGGCTATAGAAATTTGCTGCCTTATACATAAAAATTCAAAGATACAATCTTGAAATGATACATAAAAGGCCTGGCTTGATCAATTATATCCATGAAAGGGTGGTGACTAACATCATATCCTAGTTAGAAGGTTGATAACCTTTGCACAATCAATGATCACATAGATGTTTTGTAGATTAAATTGACAACATAAATTAAAACCATGAACAATACCAATAATCTCAGTAATAGTTGGTGGATAATGACCAACATTGGAAAAGAAACCAACAACCCAGTCCATATTCCCATTTTGGATCACATTTCTATACTTGGTGATACAATCCTTGCAAGAACCATCAATATCTAGGTGTAAACTATTTTCGATCGAAAACCATTGACTATTAGATCTCCTTGGAAACTTGGCCAAGGTTTTGGACTTATTCAAAAGATTCCAACAAGCTCTAGCTTTATGGAAGCTAGCCTCTATTGAGAATCCTCCTTTAGCCTTCTCATCATTGAATAAGACTTTGTATCTAAGACACCTGATATTCCAACACATATATTCAAAGAGTACATCCTATGGTACTTGCTTAGTAAATTCTCTTCCCACTTGTTTCTTCAAAATCCATAGGATTCATTATTCTCCATTAAGGGATTTAAATATGCTCCAAAGCTTAAGTTGGACAAGATCTTTCCACCATTCCACCATACCTCAGCAGATGGACAATCATGATAATTCAGCACTCATTTAATTGAATTCTTGAATTTAACCCAAAAATCATGATAATTCAACAATATTTCCTTTATCATGATCATAACTTCTTCTTATCTCATTCATAACAAATATTTTTTAAAGAATAATAATAGCATTATTTATAAAACTATCAGAAACTAATTTTTCAATAAAAATGGAGACCCAAGGCTTCAAAACTACTTTTAAAAAGTAAGGACCTGTTTGATTACCCATTTCAAAATATTTTTCTATCTTGATAAACAAACAAAAATAAACAAAAATGAAAAAGCCTGTTTAGAAATATATTTTCTATTATTTTTTTAACTTAAAAATCAGAAGATCTTTTAGATGTTTTTTTTATGTTTCGTTTCTACAAAACTAGAGGAGAGACAAAAAGCACCATGTTTTTATTAATAACAATTATATTAATAAAATAACTCATTGTTTCACTCTTTATTTCTCCAATTTATATACGTTTTACCAAATAATAATTTTAAAACTTATTTTTAAAAATTATTCTACAAAACTGTTTAATTAATAACATAATAAAAAACATGATTAAACAAGCCCTACTTTTCTCCCTAAATTTTATCTCCAACAATCCTATCCATTTTCACAATTTCTTAACTTTTTATTCACAATTTTAAATTTTAATTATAAAAATTTTAAAGAATTTAGATTATTTATAATTTGAATATATCTTCTAAAAATGAATCTAGTTTTTAAATTCATTCTATGTGGAAGTTACAGGAAATTTTTAAATCATTATTATATTTAATCCATTATTATTAAAAAAACATCAATTACTTTAATTTAAAAGTGACTTCCCTTTAATAATAATACAAGTTAATAATTTAACTTGCATCTTATTATTGATTTAAACCAGTATTTATAATTTTACGCATAAGTGCATCGCACGGACTGATACTAACAAAGAAAATTAAGATCGAAACCGTTCTCGACGCTGAGAAAGAATCGGGTGGCGAGGGCGTGGTGACTGGTGAGACCTGTAGGTGAGGAGGGTCCTGGAAGGTAAAGAACAGTTAGAACTTAGAACAGGGACGAAGCAAGAAAGATGTCATCTTCGGGAGGTAGAACACCAGAATTGAGGAAAGACGCTGTGTCAAATCGTTGGGTCATTTTCTCACCGGCCAGAGCCAAAAGGCCCTCCGATTTCAAATCCAAATCCCCCACGAATCCCAACCTGCCCCAACAAAAATGCCCCTTCTGCGGCGGTCAGGAGCATGAGTGTGCGCCCGAGATCTTTCGGGTCCCACCCGACAACCCGGACTGGACGCTCAGGGTCATCGAGAATCTTTACCCGGCTCTCAGCCGCAATCTCTGTGAGCCATTTCCCTCGAGCCTTGATTCTGCCCACGCGATTGGTAATTGTGTCTTGGATGGGTTTGGCTTCCACGACGTCGTGATCGAGACCCCGGTCCACTCTGTTCTGCTGAGTGATCTGTCTCCGGAACAGATTGGACAGGTTTTGCTCGCGTATAAGAAGAGAACTGAACAACTTGCTAGCCATGAATCAATCAAATATGTGCAGGTTTATTTCCTAATTGGATCTCTCTCCCTCCCCACTCTCCTGGGACTGTTTTATCTTCTTACGCTTCCGGGCCCAGGCGCACCGCTTCTGCCCAAAGCTCTCTCTTCTGCTTCACCTCAAATGCCCTTTGTTAGCTTTGATGTATAGTTTAAATTTCTTACAGTTAACTGTCTATAAAGTCACTCTAATTTTGTAAATTTTGACACCATCACATCTCCATCTTTGCATCGTTCTGGTAAATTTTCCCATTTGTTGCCTTTTCATCAAATAACTTTTGAATCATGAAGTTGAAAATCTTGTATTCTCGGACAGTTTTAACACTCACACACACATTTGAAATATGGCGCAGAAGGCTGGTTATGAAATTATAATAACTTAAGATGAGATATCGCCTTACAAATTCAGCTACCTATCTGTATCTTGCAATACCGTGCCCACAATACTACCTATTTTCTATGGTCTCAAAAGTCAGAAATGGCGCGAGTCTTGGAGTTTATCTGGTGCTTAGAAGAATACGATATTCTGACACAGTTGCAGCATGCACTAATAAATCACGAAACCTGTGCATGTTCCTTTGGATTTCGGAATATGATAGCGGCTGAACTATTGGCAATTGATAGATGCACATCAGCTACTGTAATTCTGATGCGCTTTTGCACTTTAAACACATCAATTTTGTTGAAAGGGTAATTACTGGCTAGTGGCTACATTTTTGTTGTTATTGTCTAACCCTTTTTCTGTGATGAAGTTACGCAATGCAGTTGTATTTAGGCTGGCCTTTTTTAGGGAGAGAAGGGGGGTTATATTCTTCTGTGTAGATTGATAATTTTCTTGCTTTTCACCTATCACGTTTAAACTTCTTTATGGATTTTATTTAATATTGAAGGTATTTAAAAACCATGGTGCTTCAGCTGGTGCATCAATGAGTCACTCTCACAGTCAGATATTGGCCCTTCCCATCATTCCTCCTACAGTTTCTTCTCGTCTAGCGAATATGAAGGATTATTTTGAACAGACAGGGAAATGTTGCATTTGTCAAATTGTATCTGAGGATCTTGTGATTAATGCTTCTGCCAACTTCATTTCACTGGTTCCTTACGCCGCCACTTTCCCCTTTGAGATATGGATTGTTCCCCGTTATCACTCTGCGCATTTTCATGAATTGGATGCTGAAAAGGTAACTCCTCCTTGCTCCGAAGTTCAATTTTTTTGGTGTCCTTTCTATATCATTGGCATACTCTGATAGATAAAACATTTGACGGTGGGATGGGGCAAAGATTTAGTATGATATTGACTTAGAAAGTTATCTTTTTTTTTTTTTTTTGGGTAAGTACTTAGAAAGTTATGTTAATTGGTCTGGATCTTCACCACCCCCGGGGGAAAGGGCAACGCTTAAAATTTCTAGTGAAAAATGGGGATACAATGTTCTACTGTGGAAGCTATTGCATCATTGACAAGTGTTTTTCCCATCACTAGCGGAATGTCCAATAATATTAGGACAGATAAATGAATGTTTTTACTTGTCTGTTACATCTATGTTAATAGATAATCCTGGATGGTCTGTATCCATATGATCCTCCTACCATGTCACAGATTAGTAATCATTTCTTGACATTCACTTGGCAGGCAGTTGATCTCGGAGGTTTGCTGAAACTCATGCTTAGGAAGATGTCCATTCAATTGAATAATCCACCATTCAATTTTATGATCCACACTGGTCCCCTGCATGGCGAGGGATCCGAGAAAGCATACATTCATTGGTTTTTACAAATTGTACCACAACTAACCGGGATTGGAGGCTTTGAGCTTGGAACCGGGTGTTACATAAATCCTGTGTTTCCGGAGGACGCTGCAACTGTTCTGAGAGAAGTAGAAATTCAAGAATCCAGATAAATCAAGAAGAAATATTCTTGAGAAAGCAAAACCCGTGATTTTTATGCAGTTATGAAGGTTAAGCTATATTTTTTTAACAGGTCTCACTCCCAGGAGCCTTAAGCGACACTATGAGGGGTTCTTCAGGTTTTACGCGTACTCTAACCATGGTTGTAAAAGCCTTGACGTATTGACCGGATCATTATGTATGAATATGAGAGGGGAGGGGACATTCATTGATCTTGAAAGGGAAGAGGAAAAGGCACTTTCCAATAATTTGTGTCTTCATTGATTGATGTATGAAATATTTTTGTTTGACGCAACTTTTGCTCTTCTCCTCATTCTTGGTGAACTGTTTTACTTTTATCCATTTTCATGGGTGGGTGGAATTCTAAGCAACTGAATGTTACTACTGTTATGCAAAATGGTAGTGATAGACGCAGTCTGGGAAAATCAGAGGCAAGTCCTTTTTTTTTGGGCGGGGGATGGGGGTTGAATATTATGACGAGTTGGATTCCAAACTTGGGCGGACTGCCAGGGGAGGGCATGCTTTCATATCAAAAAGCATTTACAAAAGTGTTTATGAATCACTCATTAATAACATCATTGTATTGATAGTTGGATTTGAACTCACCATTTTATTAATTATGAATTAATTTTTTATCAATTAAACTAATTTTAGTTGATCGTTGAGATATGTCTTGATAAATTGAACTTGTGCACAAAAAGCCAGTGAAATTGTATTTGGTCATATATTTGTGGATGAGGCTTGTGCGTTGTGATCTGGAATATCAAATCATTTTAAAACAATCTTATATCATCATTTATTAGGAATTTTTCTATAGGAATTCGTAGAAAATTTGATTTTTAAAAGGATAGATAATAATTTATAGAGAATTTATTTTTTGAAATAGTCTTATATCATCATATATAATTAAAACAAACAATGACGGTCAAATCAACTTTATAATATTACGATTTTGGCCAAAAACAAATCACCTTTATAATATTATGTTTCATGCTGGCCAAAAAACAATTAACTTGAGTGTGTTTCGTGTTTTCTTTGACCCAAGTGTTTCGTGTTTTTTGCGCCATAAAAATCGCGTATGTATATTAAATTATTAACCGAACCACCCGCCAATACAGTAGGGATGGGTGACTTCGAATTTTCTAAATTCTAAAATCTCTCTCTCTCTCCCCGTATAAATGAAATACAAAATTCTAAAAAATGGTATCATTGCGAGTAATTAATAACATGACTTATATTTCAAACTTTATGCTACACAATATCATATCAAATATAGTAAAAATGACTAATATATGCAAATAATTTACACTAACTTTATCAAATCAAAATCAAAATTAAAAATTAATTATTATCTAGGGAATTTTCATGAGTTATATATAATATGGATGTGGATTTTTTTGGACTCCTTGTGATGGACGGAGACGCCTCTAGCTATTGTATTGTCCTTATTTTTAGATACCAAAAAATATTTAGAAATAAATCCCAGTTAGATTATACTATTTATTTTTTATTTAGTATTTATCTATTTGAAGATGTTCATATTAGCCCTCGAAAATTTCAAAGCAGGCATGATTTTTAGAACAGATGCCAATGACGCAGTCCCTCCTCGTCATACAGTCACACAACAAACATATTGGGCGAATCCTCAAATATGAATTTGAAATTCCAAACCAAAATGCATTAATTGTAAAGATTTTTTTTTTAAAACCTGGATACTGGCTTAACTGATGAATTTTGACGGAATTCGCTTGAAGAAATATTTTTCTTACAAGTTTAGCTGGTAATCTTAACCAATCTATATTTACACACAAGTTAAACATTAAAGCGTGGTTTTAATTTTTTTTTCATAAAAAGATCAAATATAGTAAAAATAGACATATTAAAAGCTATATGAATCCCATCCTAATGTATAATGATACATAGGGTGAACATAATTTTTTGTCCATGTACTTTACTCACGTTTTGCTTTTGTTCCTTATGTATTTTTTGGGTATTTTAGGTCTCTATATTTTTATTTTTCATTATTTTCGATCTCTCTATGAGTAAAATATAGAAACTTTAAAAGGATCTAAAATAATAAAAAATAAAAATGTAGGAATTTAAAATATAAAAAAATATAGGAATAAAAAACAAAACATGAATAAAATATAGGGACTAAAAATTATGTTTAGCCTAATATATACTCCTCTCGTTAAAAAATATAAGTCATTTTTAATAAATTAAATGTTTAAAAATATAAGGCATTTTTAATCTTCTGAAATGTAATCATCATCTTTTTTTAAAGGTGTCCCTATTAACAATAACTTTATATTTATTGTAGAATATTTTATAAAATAAATATAAAAAAATATGATTAGTTGATAAGTAAATAACTATCTTATTAAGGATAAAATTTAATTAAAAATATCTTATATTTTTAAATAGAGAGTATCTTAATAAGCGGAGTAATATTATTTTTTTAATTTTTTAAAAAAATGGGATCGAGAAACCGGGACAGTCGCGGGCGCGAGGGATACCGATTCGAGTTATATATATATATATATATATATAAATCGGAACCCCTTAAATTTTCTCCGTGCCTCTGAAAGCTCTGCTTAGTGGCGACCCCTTCTCCAAGCTTCTCTCAGCAAAGGGTTCCGTATTTCAATTCTGCCTACGTCGTTGACCCCAGTCGCAGGGTCAGTCAAGGTCTACCTTTCTTTCGTTCTCCACATCATCTTCTCAATCATGGAAGCCGCTGCTCCATCCCCAGACAGTAGTATCCTTGTTGCTTCTTCTCATTTATGCCGTGCTAGCTTCTGTTCGGGATTTTGTTTCTTTTCCTCTAAAATATGAAATAACTCTCGTCGTTGTGATTGTGCATGTTGTGTGCTTGTGTAATTTGATCATAGGGTGTATTTGTTATTTGACTGTCTGTAGTTTGTGGTTCATGCCTTTTACTCGAACTGATGACGCACACAAACGCACACAGATACTTGTAATAGAACTCTGTAAGCATGTAATTAAGTGCACGAAACCCGTCATATTCTCTGGAAGAGATACACATTTATGCGCGTGCGTAGCAGATTACTGTTCATATGTGGCAGAATATAATATAAATTAGTCAAGTTTTATAATATATTGGAGTTGCTTTGGCTTCCATCTTGTTTAGCCTTTGGTTTCAACTGTCTTTTAGTTGTTTGAAGCTTTTTTTTGAAAAGAAAATTGTTTCCTTTACCTGAATACTGTAGGAGCTGCAGATTTATTACAGAAGTTGTCCATGGATTCTGAGTCCAAGACTATTGAAGTGCCGGGCCATGGAAATAGGGTATTCTTATGTAGTTGCTACATATTCATTTGTATATAATCTATATCATATTTTTTTTTAAGAAAAAAATATTACCTGATTCTTTTACTCTACTTCTATACAGAGTGGACCTGCTTTTTCCGCCGTTGCATCTAAGGGGTTAAGCAAACCATTTTATCCAAATGCACGCTTTGTTTCAAATGGATACCCTGCTGCTTATTGTTATGGAGGTAAGGACGTAAGGTAAGCTATTATGAGAGCATTTATATTGAGAAATTGGCAAAACATGTAGACCATGTTGATTCAACCACTTTTTCCTCCTCAAGTAAAATGACTTTTGTGGTAACTGGCATGTATTTATTTCTTCAGGGTATAATGATCAGAGTAGTGATTGGAATGGTTATTCCAGCTATGTGAACCTTGACGGCGGGATGGCTTACGTAAGTAATTCTTATCTGGACCCTCCCCCCCCCCCAAAAAAAAAAAAAAAAAAAACAAAAAACAAAGTGTGTGTATATATATATATATAATCTCAAAGCTGTAATCGTATGGTACCTCAATTTTAATCATTCTGAAACAGAAAAAATTGAGGTTATTAGGTAACACAATCTTGCAATTGATTTTTTTGTATTCATTTATTCATTTATGAACCTCTAGCCATTCCTTGTTTTCCCTTTTGTCTTAGAACTGCCATTTCTCTTGTCAATTTTTATATTAAAAAAATCACATCTAGGTTATAATTTGTTGTTACCTTTCAATGGATTTCAATAACAGGGCGTTTATGGAGATACCTGCTCTTATACGCATCATCAAGGTTATGGCTTCACACCATATGGAGTGTATTCACCTGGTTCTTCTGCTCCAGCCATGCAACATGATTCTGCTCCAATTATGCAGCATAATGGACAGCTCTATGGGCTGCAACAATATCAGTATCCTTGTCCCTATTATCAAGCTCAAGTTTTTGAGGAAGGACCTAATGCTCCAAACAAACATTGTGTCGCACAGAGGGAAATATCAGCTGCAGTTACTGTTAATCATGCCCCTTCATCAGTCGTCATGAATAAAGGAAATAAAGTCAGCCTTGTCAATGGTGATTGTCCAAATAGCAGTGCGTTTAAGGCACCTCTAACAAGTTCCTTCAGCTCATCTATGAATTCTAATGATTTTTATCAAGGCGCTAGCTTTCCATCTTATGTTCCTTTGTCAGGATACCAGGATACAAGATTTAGTGCTGATGAAATCCAATCGGGGATCCCTTCAAATGCTTTATTGTTTTCTGAGAGGCAATCTAAACATGGAGCAAGATTTGGATTATCTTCACCAATGATTCCTGGCAAAGATTTTTCATCTCAGAGTAATCAGAATCTTGCCCTCTCTCTTCCACATTACATGGTATGTTTGATCCTTCTTCCCTTATCCTGGTGTGTCCGTGCATATTGAGGTGAAGGCAAATCAGTAATCTCCCACCCCAGTGCGCCCCTAACTGACTTGTTTTGCAGCATAAAATATTTCATTTGTATGCTTTTGGTTTGAATTATTTTTTAAAAATAAGTTCGTCATGCAATCATTTTTTATTTTATTTCATCTGATTCTTGGTATAAGCGAAGCAGTGGATGCATGCTTCTTTCACTTGTTCATACCCATCGAACAGGATGGTTGTGATCTCTGTACATATCATATGTCATACAGTCGATAGCTGTTGTTTTATTTTTTGTTCAAAGTGTGGTTTGTTCGTCTAGAATCATTTTAAAACACAGCTTAAATTCTGTTGCAATCGCTGCACAATTTGCAGGGTGCAAGACCATCGCCTGGATTGGAACTGGTTTCTGGTTTCATGAACAGGATGTATCCAATCAACAAAGCGTATAACCAATATGGAAACACATGGTCTAGTTCTCCATATATACCTGCTGCTTATGGATCTAGAGCAGGGTATATTCCCAGCAGGGTTAAAGCCTCAAGTAATAATCGTGGGGGCAGTGGCAGTTGGAAAAAGAATATGGACGGTTTTAATGAGATGACTAAGGGACCTAGAGCTACGAATTCTGACAATAAAAGTGACATTAATGGCAAACCAGTACCAATGGTTCCCATGAAGCACCAGTACAATGGGGAAGATTTATTTGAGAATTATTTTGATGCAAAATTTTTTGTTATCAAATCTTATAGTGAAGATGATATTCATAAAAGCATAAAATATAGTGTCTGGGCAAGCACCCCTAATGGCAACAGAAAGCTAAATGAAGCATATGAAGAAGCCAAGGAGAAGCCTGGTGGCTGTCCTTTATTTTTGTTGTTTTCAGTAAGTATATCATATGCAGCACTCAGTTGGGTAATTTCTAGAGACTATTAATTTCACTGAGCTACCTGGCTGACCTATTCTATGTCGCTACAGGTTAATTCTAGTGGGCAGTTTGTTGGTTTAGCGGAGATGGTGGGTCCTGTGAATTTTGAAAGTACTGTAGAATACTGGCAGCAAGACAGATGGACTGGTTGCTTTCCTGTGAAGTGGCATATCATCAAGGATATACCAAATATCTTGTTAAGGAAGATAACACTAGAAAACAATGAAAACAGACCTGTAACGAATAGTAGGGATACACAAGAGGTATTTCTGCATTCGCTTGTTTTATTATATCATATGAACCACAACTCTTTCAGATTAACAATGTTTGTCCATACACTCATCAGGTTATGTTTGAGAAAGGCATTCAAATTCTCAACTTTTTCAAGGATCATCCACGCAAAACATGCATCCTGGATGATTTTGACTTTTATGAGGGACGGGAAAATGCGATGCAGGAAAGAAAAGCTAAGGAACATCAATCCCCGAGACATGTAATGTGCACCTTTCTATGCTTTACTCTGGTCAAATTTACTGCATTCGGCATGTGGATTAGATTTTTCACAGCTGTGTCTCCTCTATATTAGCTTCTTTTAAATTGAAGATATTGGGAATTGTACCATTTGATGGCCTTTCTTCCTGATCAAACCTTTAATCACCTTTATACATTTACAGGTCAGCGAGCTTGGTGACAATGAGATAATTCAGCTGCCCGAGTCTGTTGGTGGAACTTTGGCGAATCAATCAGCTCCTGCAGACTTAGCATCCACGAGTTTGGATTCAAAAGCGTCGCCATTAGAAGAGTGTGGATCGACAGGAGCTCTTGAAGACTCTCTGGTGCTAGATCCGAAAGTGGCTCCAGATGAGGTTGCCAGTGCCTGATAATTCTTTCCTTCTCTCTTGTTTTCTCATTCCAGTAGCAGGGGGATGAGTTCTTGGTCCCTGATGTAGTGAAGTATTTCGTTTGGTTTTCTGTGGACTTGTTAAGTAAGTTGAAGATATATTTTAATAAAACAAAACTCAATACATATAAAAATTGCACTAGTAGAACCATTTTTTTTTTTGAAAAAAAAGTTACACTTAATGTGAAAAATTAAAAACAAATAACGACAGTGTTACTGCACAGTGAAAGAACAATAAAGTAATAACATTGATTGTTATGGTTCATAAGCCATAACTACACCCAACTAGTGGTTATTAACCAAACGATGGACTCAGAGCCCTCGTTTGGAATAATGAAGTATTTTTTGGTGTAATGAGAATAGGAGTGAGAATGAAAATAGGATTGTAAGTAAGATTTAAAAACATGTTTGATTTGTTAATGAAATATTGATATAATTGTTATTTGATATTTATAATATGATAACAAAATATTGCCTTTGGCTTTGGAAATAGAATCTGCACCATGAACCAAACACAATCTCAAGTCGACCAACATGCACAAATTATTGTCGATGGTTGGAGATAAAACTAGAGATGAAAAATCAAATAGGCTCAAATCTTAAGAAACTAATTTTTAAGCTTTAAAATGTTGATCAAATCTTGAGGTTCACCTTTTATTGAAAGGGTTCAGAGCTAGACTTAAGAGCTCGATTTCAAAAAAATTGTATTATAATTTAAGTTTGTTCTTGTAGAAAATAATTTAATTCAATATCATAATATTTAACATTATAATTTAACTTTAAAATTTAATATAAATTAAAATAAATTCTTATCATCTAGAAAATAAATAACATATTTAAAGTTCTAAATACGTGTTAGTTGATATTATCAAAATTCACAACAAGGTTTTAAAAACAAAATATATGAAGCATATTGATATAATCCTCACAGTATAAGATGCGAAATCAAAATTTTTAAATTAAATTGATATCTTAAAAGTGAGCATTAAATTGAAATCTCAAACATCCATGGTTTTAAAAAAGCTCTACTTTCTCCATTTAAAAATGTAAGACATTTTTTGAGAAATTTGATGTTAAAAAATATAAGGCATTTTGAGTCTTTTAAGATGTAATTGTTGCTTTTTTTTTAAATACTTTTATTGATGAATGACTTTATATTTATTATAGGATATTTAATAGGGTTAAATATGAATAGAAAAGATTAATTTGAAAGTAGGTAACTACTTTATTGAGAGATGAGATTCGGTTAAAAATGCCTTATATTTTTGCACTGAGAAAGTATGCCAGAAGATAAATTACCTTAGAGTAAGACAACCAAAAAGCCAAAGCAATAGAACATTAAGAGAAAGACACTGAATAGAGAGACATTGAGTCAATAGATGAGAGAGAGAGGCAAGTCGAGAAATTGAGAGAGCCAAAGGGTGAGCAAAGTGGTGTCAAGGAGGAGCAAGATAGCTAGAGGAAAAGAGAGAGCGAAAGGGAGAGGTTGAGTCGAAAGACGGAGAGAGTTGGAGAAGTTGAAATGATCGAATGCTTGAGGTTTTTTCACATTTGCTTAATGTTGCATTCCAAAGTGGAAGGAAAAAAAATAACAAGTTTGGGGTTTGCTGTAGTATGAGCCCTATTTTTTGGACTTATTAGGGCCAGGTTCAAAAGCTTGATTACTCTAAAAAATTTAAACTTGAATCTTTAGTTAAATAAGCCTTTAAGCCTGACCCTTATTTCTAACTCTAAATAAAACTACAAACCCAAAAAAAAGGAAAATGATCTAAAAATACCACCCCAAATTGAGCAAGAGCCCATGCCAATTCACAACAAAACAAAGAAGGTGAAAGAGGCTCAGGTGGTGCTGTGCATGGGTCTCTATTTCAATGGCCAAACATTTTCATCAATAAAGGAACGCAAACATCGAATAGAGAAGGACCTAAATCGTGGACAGTGGAGAAGAGCGTTGAACTCTATTGAAGAAAAGGCACGACTCCCCTTTCTTGACTTCACAATTGCAACAAAACTAAAGTGAACAAACAATATTTGTTCATCAATGGAGAAGTGATAGTGATCTCGGATTTGGGTTGTCGACGTTGAGGGAGACAACTGGAGACAACAAGGAGATAATTGAAGATAGAGGCTATTGAGAAGGGAGGTCACTGTTGTTAACATTCAGAGTTGAGTAAAGGATGAAAATGAGGACGAGGAGGTTGGAAGGTGGGGGTTGACAAAGGAGGTCCAACTACAATCAAAAGGAAGGTCTTGCTAGAGAAACTGTTGGAAAGTAAGGCAAAGAAGCGATTATGGAAAAGGTGGAGAAGGTCATTTGTCGATGAAAAGGAAAGGAAAGGAGAAGGGAACGGTGGATATATAAATTTTAACTAAGAATAATTTGGTCACCTAAAATTCCATTCCCAAGAAATGAATTTATCCCTATTGTTTACTAATGGCATGTGAATTACCTCGGATAAGGTAAGAGGTCATTATATTGAAATGACTACTCCCATACACCAAACAAGATAATGAGTTATTCTTACCCTAATTCCCATTTCATTATCTCCCATTTCATTATAATAGGATTGTGCAAAAGTCTAGTGATTCTATCAAACTCAATCAAATCCAAGCAAATTAGGTTTGATTTGGTCCTATAAAAAAAAATTAACTTCAAGGACTAAAAGGACCATCAATACCAAACTTCATCTTTAGGTTGGGCTAGATAGGAAACTAAGTTTTCAAACCACTTAATCTGGTCCGATCCAATAAAATTATTTAAATATAAATATAATTATTTTTATTTTTTTAATATAGTTGAATGTGAAATCTAAGACCTAATTGTTGAACACGATGTCTCACTTAATTCCTTAATTCCCTATCTTTCTTCTCTTCACTCCATCTTCACGCTACAAGGTAGCAAGAACCAAAAGTCTTCTAGCCTTAGCCTCTCCCATGTTGTCTACTATTTGCCATGTTGCTCCCTTGCTCGATGCTTGTGTTCTTTTGATAAAGGATTTTGATGGCTTGTGTTCTTGATGTTAAAGGAGATGATTGCATGAAGATTGATTAAAGTTTATTGTTAACTTGTTGCTGTAGCATAGTTTATTGTGTGTTTGGTTTTTAATTTATCAAAAGTTTACTTGCTAAAAGTTTATTTGGTAAAAGTTAATTTTGTAAAAGTTAATTGTTATAACAAAATTTGTATTTAAATACATTTTTTTAAAAATCAATTTAGTAAACTGAAAGTTGTTTGAATTGAGAATGATTTATATTTTAAAATGTGCTTTTGAATATATAATGACTAGAAAGGACATTGATCCATGATAACTTGTAATTTCTTGTTATGCAAATAGTATAATATATTAGAAATGTTTAAAAATGTAAAATAACACAAAATTAACATGTTAAATAATAAGAATAAAAAATATAAAGTTTATACTTCCACTATTAAAAAAATATAAGGCATTTTTTAAGGAGTTAGATATCTAAAAATATAAGAATTTTTAATTTTTTAAGGTGTAATCATTACTTTTTTTTAAGGTGAAACAACATATTAAATAAGGGTAAATATAAAAAAATATGATTAGTTTGAAAAATTAGCAATTTCATTGGGAAGTAATATTTAGTTAAAAATATTTTGTATTTTGAACGAAACGAGTATGTTGGAAAAATTATATAATAAATATTTCAATATACATTAATATTAAAAATTAACATGATTCAAAAAATATATATCATACATTTTTTATTTAAACAATTTAATCAACTGGACAAATCTTTGTTGGATGATAAAAATTTTAAATAATATAAAATTTGATATATTAAATAATGAAAGTATAAAACATTTGATTTAGTGGACAAAAATTTTATAAATAGTTGAATATACATCAATTCTAAACATTAACGTAATTAATAATTCCATTTACAATGTTAAAAACTTAATCTTTAATTATTATTATTTAAATGAGTATTATACTTTTAATAAATTAACAGTATTTTTTAACTAAAAGAATAATATACTATGCTTGGAATATCATGATCACATTACATATTACTTTTTAAATTCACTTTTAAAAGCTTTATTATCTTATATCCATCAAATTCATTTTCAATAACATTCTCGAAGTACTTTAAGAATTATTTCTTTTCAAATAATATCCCACATTCCAAAAACAAAAAAGTACTCCCCAAGTGTTAAAAGTGGGTTATCCAAACACACTTTTAAATATGTTGAAGTTTGTTAAATATTTTTATATATTGAAATTTAAATATTTGTTGTTGTTGTTGTTGGAAATTATTATAAGTTTATTATAATTAACTTTTAATGTATTGTAATAAATTTTACATAGTTGATTATTTTTATTATCTCAATTATGTTTATTAGGTTGAGATAAATTGTTTCTTCTCATAGAGGAAAAACAAAGAGAAGTACTAGATTATTAGGATTAGTCTTTCAATTTTATAAATCAAATTTGATCTCGTTTAATTTTGAGTTATGCTTAAATATGACTAAAATATGAGTTGCCTAATCCTTTTTTTTTTCAATAGAAGAGATCATACTTTAGTTTAGATCGAAATTCTATGTTTTTAATCCTTCGTGTAACTAGTATTTTAATCATGATATAAGGGCAAGCTTCAAATAGGAGCGGCGTCTTGTATACCTGTACAATTTGTTGCATCTACAAAATGCCAACTCTGCTTGAAATACAAACGCTATCAGTTATTATTATGATATTAAAACTCAGAACGGACCGACTAGGTCAACCTAAAAATCGGTGACCTGGTCCCTTGTTCGGTCTGGATTTACTCCTAAACTGGAGCAGGAATGAATTGATATAATCTGATCAACCCAGTATAACCCAGATAACTTGGTGGGTTGATTGAGTTAACCGAGTTATTATTTTTTTCAGATAAAACCCTTAAAACGATGTCGTTTTGGGGGATTTTTTTTTTATTTTTGATTTTCCAAAGTGCTGAGTTCAAAAATAAGATAATAAAAAAAAGTGAAACTAAAGTCAAAACATGAAAAATTAGAGGCAAAGCACGCTAAATCCAATCTAGATTTCTAGAAAGCATTCAGTTCGGCCTTTAATCTGCGTCTCTCCTTTCTCGCTCTAACTTAATTGGCGTCTTTTTTCTAACTCAGTCTTTGTCTCTTCT